AACAGCATTTACCAATGGCTTTTGTTTTAACAGCTGTTTTTACAGTTTCTTGCTTCAGATTCACTGTTTAATATTTGTTTTCCACTCCAGAATATTTTAATCTGCCTTTAATACTGCATTGCTGTCAGAAGAATTGTACACCAATGGGCAGTAATTGATTTATATGTACCAGACAGAGGTACTCTGTTACAGCTGGAGTTTGCCTGCTGTGTTGCATGGTGCAGACAGGCTTTGGTTTGCAAAATTAATGCTCATGCTGTTTTGTCAGGTCTTACATGAGCATAGTTGTGTTCTTAGAAATGAATTAATAATGAAATTCATGAGTGCATCTTTTGCTTGCTGCGGTCATGGGGTACGCCATGCCCGTTAAAGGCCTTATTTCCCAGAAGTGCTCCCTCTATTACCATACCATGCGTAACCTCTTTATGGCTTTAATACTCCTAAGGAAATCAGCATTGAATTTAATATTCAGTTGTTTTACAATATCTACATTATTTAAAACTTTCATGTGTTTGAAAAGTGCAGCGTAGCACACTTACAATCTCCTCACGGACTGCAAATGTTAAATTAAAAAAAATTCTTATTTTAGGCTGAGTAATCCGTTCACATTTGATTTGAATAACTGGGTTAACTTTAATAATTCCCATATATCTTTTGCATTCATTTAAAAAATATAACAAATATCTGCTACCTACTGAAACATAATGATGATTGATTTTGGAGGGGTCACTCCCAATATTTTCCAAGTAAAGACCTGAAATAATCTAACACAGTATTTCTCTTAAAAAGAAACTTTGAAAATTGAAGTGTTCTGAATTAACCTCTGTTGATTACAAGCAAATTTCAGGGTGCCTATCCTCTGTATTTTTATGTATGGAATATAACCAAGAGTTACTCAAGTTTTTCCCTAAGCCATCCTGTTTATTACTAAAGGCCATTGTGCTGGTTTCAGGCAGGAAGGAGCTCCTTTTCCCCACAGTGCTGTCGGCTGGCACAGAGCAGCCGCGGTGTGTTTCACCCCATGATAGTCAGGCTCCGGGCACGTGCAGTGCTGAGACAGGAAGTGGCCTGGGAGTGCTCTTCAGACTTGGGCTGGCTTGATAGCTGGGTCGTTAGCTCCTTTGTTAGCACGGTTGTTAGCAGTGGGGAGGGTTCCTTTGTTAGTTGGTTGCTGGCCTTTGTCCTGGTTGGGCTGTGGCCCCACCAGGGTGGGTGGGGGGTGGGTCTCTTGGGCTTGGATTCTGGCTGCTCTGGGACCTGGCTGGGTGTGGGTCAGCGCGTGGTGAGCAATTGTATCATATGCTCTATTTTCTGTTATTTTAATTACTTATTCATAGTAGTATTCTTAGTATTAGTAGTATCACTATAATTTTCATTTATATTATTAAATACTTCTTAGCTCAACTTTACGAGCTTTCCTTGTCTTTTCCTCCAACTCCCCTACTGCACTGGGGGAGGAGGGGGGATGTGAGCAAGCGACTGAGTGGTACTTAATTGTTAGATAAGGTTAAACCATGACAACCATTCAGCTGTCTTCCTTAAATTTTGGGCATGTTGGTCCCCTTGACAGATCTTGGACAAATCAGATGGTGTGCAAGTATTAATGAATCTTTTAAAGTTTTAATTTACCTTAAATCTTCACTTATAAATAAGCTAACACCTAAGAAAAGATCTTGGAGGTAAAAATTTCAGACATACATCCCTATGAGACATTGTCCCTCTTAAACAAGAGTTCCTGGAGAAGTGAGCAGGAGAGTAATCGTGTCACATCTGTCAGTCCTAATTTAACAGTTCTTTAAGAAACAGAGCCAAGTTATTAAAGAGCTCTTACTCCCCAGCCCCTTACCTGCTGACAAGCAAGGAGACCATTCTGCAGAATATGAAAGGTACTTTTCAAACAGAAATCCCTGAAATGGAGATTCACGATGGTGTTGTAAGTAAGCAAACAGCAGGTTTCCCCCTTCTTCCTTTATGTTCCTATAAACTTGTTTCAAATCCGGGAAAAACAGTCAGTGCCCGGGGCCACTTCAATCCCCTGATTTGTCGTTCTCACATAAAAGTTCAGAAGTTGCAGCACAAGTGAAACAAGTTTCTGATCAGAATTCACCGCAGGCCCCAGAGGCTGGGTGAAACCATGGTGTATAGGGGAGAGAACAGTGCAATCGCAGAGCTGCAGTGCTCCGCCTGGGGGGAATACTACACCAGCAAGTACTACTATAGAGCTGTAAGTCTTCAGAATCTCCTTTTTCTGGCTAGCCACCTAACTCCTCCTACAGTTTATGGACTACTTGCCACAGACTTGTGAACTACTATTTCTCCCCTAATACAGTCTCAGAGCCACTGGCTTATAGCATTACACTGCAGGAGTTCAGAGGAGTTTGCAATACACAGGTGCAATTATCCAACAGGCAATCCCAATTAGCGTTCTGGTGTGAATTTATCCCTAACACACAGGAGTTAGGATTTGCACTGGCTTTCTGTACTAGTTCAAAACACAAAATTAACAAATTCTGCTGTAAATGATGCCATTTTCAGTTGGTATAGTTCTGGGAGTCAAACTGTTCATATGCATTTAATGAGAAGTTACAGTGCTGTACCTCTGAGTGACGAATTAACATGCGTTATAGTCACATATTGTGATGGTAACTGGAGGTACTAAGTTAAAACTGCAAAATCTGAAATTTTTAGTAATAGAGATAAGTAACATACATGTTTTAAGAAATCCTGGCTTGGATCCACTTTTACAGCTTTTCATCACTTACCTCTAACTTCCTAAGAACGGTAAAAAAGTTATTTAGAGAATACTACATGGTTGCACATGCTGCAGCTAGGACTTGCCTTTAAGTGGATAGCCAGGTAGTTTGGTGAATTATCCCAAGTAATATGGTAAATCCAGTAGGACAAGGTTACAGCAGGGTGAAATCTGGTAGCCACATTTGACTAATGAAGAAAATATCTTATTGTCAAC